TCCTAACTGGTTCCCAGTGCAAATCCTCAAAATTACATTCTTTTTCACGCCTAATTGAGCGCACTGGAATTGATTGCTCCACATCCGGCGCTCGGCGGCGGCTGTCCGATCCACTCGCCTCCCCCCCCTCCTCTCCCCCCGGCGCTCCTCCATCGGTGCGTGTCGTGCCCGGTCACCCCGCGCCGACCCGACCCGATCAATGGGGTCACACAGGAGCACTGCCGGGTCTGGAACTGACTGCACGGGACTGCGGGCCGAAACGACTGGCCAGGGCGGGTGGCTGAGGCGCAGCTCCGGATGAACGGGAGCGAGATACTTCAGATATGTAAGTAAAGAAGTTCTATAAGCATCTTTCCAATACCCCAGCCAAAGCTCTTGCACAATATCTATGAGAATAGATGCTAACCCTTTTATCGAGGTAATTATGTTCATAGCATGCAAATGAACGACAATAATTAATGAGAAAACGCCTCTTTGGCGTTCCATTAAGTTTGCTAGTGTTCACAGAAGCAAGATCTCTATATGGATCACTTATCTCATTATAACTTAGAGAAACAGTGCAAGCTCATCCTGTCAATTTTCATATACAGGGCGCATAAAATGCGCATTGCACATTGGTATCGGAGAAAATCAAGTACAATAGATTACAAATTTGCGCAACAAAAAATCAAATGCTCATTCCAACTCCAAAATGAATAAACCTTAATCTTTTTGGTTGATGTATTTCCATAATGGCGTTGAATGTTTGCGGTTCGTATTTGGGATTAAGCTGTGCCAGGCGCCTACCCTGCAGCGTCTGAAATATTCATGTATGCAGCGTTGTCACGAGGAATCCTCAGACGGGCTGCTTCATTTAGACGGTCAGGATGTTAGTGGAAAAGCTTATGTGAGACGTGGAGGAGCAGTTCTGTTTTGCCTCGCCTGTTCTACACCATTATTAATTGCAGCCGACACACACCGCCAATGGTGAATGTCAAACAGCATTTTATAAAACGCCCGCCATGCAGTTAGCCAACTGTGCTGGCGCTGCAGGTTTGTCATTTCACAAGAGCGCAAAACATTTGAAGTGTGTCAGCACATGTAACTATGCATGCATGATGCTTGAGAAGGTTGTAAAGCCCGTTAACCCGCGCACCGACGGGGGTCTGCGCCAACTTAGTACCGACGGGGGGGGGGGCGGATGACTGCCCCCCCCCCCTGAGATCTCGAGAACGAAGCAAGATAGCGACAAGCGGTAAACGGCATCGGATACGCACGGTCAAGATCTACAATTTTTACTAAGGTCATTTTCAGGTCAGGTCAAAGATGACGTCACAGGGGTCGAAAAAGTCAAAATGGCGGCGCTAAATATGGAGAGAGTTTTTCTCGAATAACATTCGAATTAGTCAAGATAGGAACAAACTAAGGGCATCATCGTGATCCTCTCGTCAATCCGCATCGAATGATATATATGTTGACCTCGAAAGGTCAAGGTCAAAGGTTGACCTCAGGTCACGTGACCTCGAGGTCATCATGTATATCATTCGATGCGTCTTGACGAGCTGAACACAATGAGACCATCCACGCGTCTGTATCTTGTTCCTGTACGGAGTTATTGGCCAAAAACCTTTGGTGACCTTTGATGACGTCACATGACCTCACAGCTGCCCAACAGCAAAACAGACCTCAAGGTAGTGAAGGTTGATCGTATATGAAGTCATGTTTGGTATATGGGGCCATTCCGACCCGTTTTAGTGGTAAAAACAGGGAGTTGATTTTTCCCCCATTGACTTATAATGGGGAGGTCGCGAAATTGACCTGACCTTAGGTCACCGATATCAAAATTCCGAGATATACAAATTGTAGCTACTAATGACCTAATAACATCCTGCGACTTTCAAAGGCCTCCGACATCTACTGTAGCTCTGGCACGGTGACAAAGTTGCAAAAAAGTGACTTGAGGTTGGGTCATTCAAAGTGACCTGGTGACCTGACCTTGAAAGGTAGGAGGTTCAAACTTGCACACCATATGTAAAATTGATAAGGGAATAGTCATACCAAATTTCGCGGCGCTACGCGCCGCGGTTTTCCCGCTATTCGCGAAAAACCTCAGGGGGGGCGGATATCCGCCCCCCCCGTCGGTGCGCGGGTTAAAACTCCGGTCCAAAAGAAAACAAAAACAAATTCATAGATAAAAAACAAACAAACAAATCTTTCGTCTGATAGGCGTCCCTTGAAGTTATGCAATGTCCAATTAGCGTCCAAGACATAACTCATAAGCTAATCTTCCGAAGTGAGTCGCATCAACCCACAGGTCATCAGCTTTGCAGATGATGTCAGGCGAGGGTTAGTTCAGTTGGAAAGTGTTTGGTCAGACAGCTGAAGCCGCCGCCCGCGCCAGCGGAGCTTGTTGCGCAGCAGATCGTCGGCCCCATCCCACCGATAGGAAAATCCTCAGTGGTCGGGATAACTTACGACGTGTGTTTACCATGTCCACATTGACGGACCGACCCGTCTCCCTCGCCGACTCCGACTGAGTGCTTCCACAGCCACAGAGCGTCCCGTGACGGGCCTCAAATATTGGGGCAATCTATACGGGCGACATACTCAAAGCGACATGTCTCGAAACCTGGCTCCAACGATGGGAAGCTACACGCCCCACTAGCTGAACTAAGGAGCGCACAAATTGCTGTTGACATTCCAGTTATTATGTGCTCGTGGAACCGCCTCTCCTTACCACAAATTGGTCCTTACATAATTCGACCTCCTGGAATGTCGCGTGCAGCTAAACGGTACTGTGGGGACTACCATGGCAATAATCATAGGTGGTAGTTAGGTTCTGCTGCAGGCATTCGTATATTGAAAACTAACCAGGATGTAGTGAGGCATGAAATTACGTTGGTCAACAATTTGTAGGCATGCTAATTGAACGTTTCATGTCTAACGCATCATTGTCATAAATTTGTACATGTGAATATCGTGCGAGTATGTTTAAGTATTTACCTATTGGTCGCTTTAGCATGGTCTGCCACGACTGGCAGTGGACCGTGATACGAAGTGCTGGAGGTATGTGCCATGTGAGACCATCTACCGTAAAGAAGGAATGTCCTCGCAAGTGCTTATGCTGAACACTGGACAGGAATTGTCTATAAAGCTGCCAGGTCCCAATAGGTACCATTGTGCTGCGTGGATGATAGGATAGGTATATGTATTATGTAGGGATCTCTAGAGACCCCTGTATGCCCCGCTGCTCCTACAATGCATGCTGTTTGGAAGGCATCCCATGAACCCACCCTGCCTCGCCGCCGCGCCGGTAGCAGCAACCTGTCGCGGTCGCTGCGGGTCGGCGGCTGGCCCGACCCATTAGCGTCCAGCCGCGACCCGGGGACCGGCCATCGGTGGCCGGGTCGCCACCGATATATCGGTGCCCGGCCAAATGGCCCGGTGACCGCCGTCTGGGGAAGGGGGAGGCAGGAGCCGGTGGGCAGGCGGGAAAAATTCCTTATAGAGCGGGATGTTTGCAGACTGGTCAGATGATGCTAAAAGCAAGGCCAGCTAGCGAAACATTGAAGAACGAAGGCAAGCCTCTCGGTTGCGGAGCTCGGCGTACTCAATCCATTGTTCACTTCTCTTTTCCTTTTCGGTAGAATATGCCATGAAGTCATAAGGCTTCAAGTAGGTACTAATATCCGATTAAAAAGCAATTGTGCATGGGAAAATATTTCAAGCGAAATTAGTTGGAGGGCAATGCCCTCGTATTGTGATTAATCAAACAGCTATATGGTAACCATACAACTGAGAAGACATAACGATAATTGCCATTTTTAGCCCAAGGTTCCTAAGTAATAAAACGGATAGGTCAATCCCCAGGAGCGGAGCCCCGGGACCTTATCTTGAGCCCACGCACTGACCGCCAGCGGCGAGATCCGCTTGGCAAATCTCTCCCCAGTTGGCCGATTTTAGCCCCTGACCTGTCCGGTAACAGGGGCTGATCCGGTCGGCCTGACCGCACCACTGCCACTGGCCGTATAGCTAATCTCCGCCGGGGACTGAAACGGCCGGCGACCCAAGATTCTTACACGGCGACCGCGGTCTCACTGCCGGCGGGCCAGCAATGGAACGCTGAGCGCCACGATGAGCTGCCGATAAAGGCTGGCAGAAGAACTGATACTGGTGTATTATTTTAGGAAACTTATTAGCCCGCTATGGTTGGTTGGATAGGTATTTACTTTTGACAAGAAAACTTGATGCTAGGTCATTTGTGGAAAACTTGATGCGCTGTGACTTGCTAGAAAGGATGCTTAAGAAGTGGGTCCAAAATACTTACTTATGTTTAAAGGAGCTTGTAAAAAGCCTTTAGTGAGACTATTTTTAAAATAATAGGTATGCGAAGCTTAGCAAGCTTATTAGGTATACAAACTTATACATAAAGATGGTATGAAGGTGAACATCGTTGGGAGATACTTATTGCTACGTCAATGGGTGACTTAATTATAGTTACTTCAGCCGAGCTTCTATTCCATTACCGTCGTGCAGATAAATTACGTCCTGATGAGCTGCAGGCAGTGGGTCGAAATTAATGCACGAGGCGGTCCTGACCAGCGACGGGACATTTCTATTTTCCTGCCATTTAGCCGGTAGAGTTATGTGCCGTCATCTCCCGTTGCTTGACCAAATGGTAGGTATTCCCGGTACTGACAGTTCTACACTTTCTAAATTTGATTCTACGGAGGAAATCGTCCCGCTATGTCAAAAAGAGAAATCTGCCCCTTCTTAGATGACATGTGTAAAAAGAGCTTTTTGAAATAATCATACTCCTCCAAGTGTGAGCATTAACTTAATTAGCTCTGTAACATGAGAGGAAACTAGAAAAAAAAACTGGAGAGTTGAGCACAAATAAAAGCACCAAAAGCGTATGTTACGAGGGTATCGCACCGCACAGAACTTTCTTCAGATTTCAAAGACACATGACCAGAGACAGTCCAGAATCAACCGTTGACACTCTCAGACCTTTCACTCACCTGCTGCATCAGTTTGACCTCTCCCACGCCGCAGGGCAGGGCGCAGACCGACAGCGGTACGCTGACCTCGACCGGGGTCAGATCGGTCACCCAGAGGTCACCGTCTGGGTCAGTAGGGGTCAGCGGGGTCAGGTCTCGGCCGTCGGACGGTGACTGAGACGGTCTCGGTGGTGGCCGGTCGGGGTCTGTGCCTCCGTTCCACTGCACTTCGCCGCGACTCATGTTGAGCTCACCCTGCCCCCACTGACCTATCACCTGTAGAAAGACAACGCTCCGTGTCATTATTGTAATTGCTGTGCAGTTGTTCGTGGTCCCGTTTGTCGGCTGCACAATGCTATGCGTCATCAAGCGGGCTCATACTTCTTATGTGCCTTATACGATCAATGCTGTCAGTCATGCTCGTGTCAATCACACAGTCAGCTACATATACCTATCTTCTGGGACTGACCATGCTGTTAAATGCCAATTAATTTATACTCACTTTGTACTGGTGCTGACCGTTGGCCACACGCTGGAAGTTGAAAATGGTGTACCGCGCCAGACCATCACCTCGTGCGTCAAATTGAACCTTGCTCCCAGCAATATCTGCAAACAAGACGGAACAGCCACACTATAGTGTTTCACAGTGATCAGTAATGTTCTCGCTTTACAAAGAGGCTGTTGCAAGGACTCATATTGATGAAACTGCAGTCAACCAAAACAATCAAAGTCGAATGTCGTCATGCCATGATCCGGCCAAACAAACAAAACACAAGATGTCCAGCAGCATATCATTCATCGAACCAATTAAATAGAAACGTGCTTATTTGTAGGAGTGATTAGTGATCCATATTGCTCATCCCGTTCGGGTACGTATATGAGATAGGTCACTGATAAACGATCCACCACTTCGCAGACAGGGTTAATTTGTTGACCTTAATGAAACTCATGTCAGAGCTTTCGACGGTGGGAGTACAGTGATTGTCGTCATATTACCAGTGAAGTAGCAAAGGCCAAGCAACACTATTTGTAAGACAAACAACGTCTATTTATTGATTTGTTAGCCGGCGGTTCGGTCGATAAACAAACTTCCACTCAGATTAAAATGGTATGTCCCCCATCGAAACGGCTATTGTGACTGTCGATAGGTCGCGCTGTGTCATCCCAGCAGTTCGCTTTCTGTGAGAAAGACTGCCAAGTTCAATTAATAACATACGTAACACAGTGTAACGTTGTGAGTGCCGAACAGCTCGTGTTCCGTGGAGAGCCCCTATGTCCTGAACACTGAACACTGAACAGTCTCTTCAGCATTTGTATGTCTCTACCGTTTACTATTTAAGCATACGATCAATGGTTCGTGAGTTCAAAGCCAAACCTACCGAGCTTCAACTATGCAGAAAGGTCACGTTGCAAAAACGTTGAAATATCCCACAGAATCTCTAGGCAAAGTTCACTGAGCGTTGATGAAGAGAAATTGCTAGCTGATGTCAGCCGTTCATGTGTCTTCATTCTCATTCTAAGCCACTAAAAGTTGAAGTTGAATGTGTATTTGTAAATTTGCCTGATGGTTGCTTTGAAACCATTTTCCTATATCTGTTTCCCATGTCCTGTCTGTTTCTGTCTGTCCTATGTGCAACGCATCGTAGCATCAGTGTTGATTTCTTCGTGTCACAAGGAAAGGAAACTGACCGGTGGGTGAATTTCCGGGTAACTCATTTGTCCCTTGCAGAAAAGGTCACCAATACAGGGATCCTCCATAGATTAATGTGGCGCTCAGAAACAGACATTTCACTATAAAAAGTCATCATCAGGAAGACTTTACAAGAATCGTTTAAAGATAGGTACTTGCCTATAGAAACTGACATATCAAATGTCCCTAAATATCCCTATCCCATAAAATATATATATATATATATATATATATATATATATATATATATATATATATATATATATATATATATATATAAAATATATAAAATATCCATATCCCATAAAATATCCCTATGTCAGCTAACAGCTGTTTTCACGCCTAACGAACAATGGGCAGATTGATGAACCAAGTGATTTATGTCATCTTTTCAATTAATGCCGCATATTTTCGATATTGTACAATATTCTCCATAAGTTTTTGAAGGACCTTACATTTCATTCATGTATTTTTTGTTTTAGATGAATTTTCGGCCACGGGCCATGATCACAACAATGCCAAAATATAATAAAATTCATTTAAAACAAAAACAAATACATGAATGAAAAGCCTAATTTTGTAAGGAGGTCATTCAAAAACAATTAAACGATTTAAATGCTTTACATTCAGCAAGCACTAAACCAATTAAGATTTATTCTCTATAAGATCCAAATGATGTTCGTGATTGCTACTTGATAAATGCTGATACATTTCTCACAAACTGAACTCTTGTACCTAACGTGAAAATTAAGGCGTGAGACAACAGGTTATTATAAAATATCCCTCGCCCGGCGAAGAGGGGGTTGATGCAAGCCCCCTAAGGTTTTTCGCAAATAACGTGAAAACGGCGTAGCGCCGCCAAATTTGGTATGGCGTAATTTGGTATGGCGTAAATTTGGTATGGCGTAGCGCCGCCATACCTTCTGGGGCAACAACTTCGCACCTATCCTGAAAATTTCAAGTCCCAGTCTTTTCAGGTCAGGTCACCAGGTCACAAAAACCGGTACAAGGTCAGGGGAAAATTGGACTAGTTTAGCGACAACTGAATGACTAGAGAGTTCGTTGATAGCGTGGGTGTTATGGCACGTAGCGCTACGAAATTTCAGACACAACTTGGGGAATCTATTTGACAGGAGTTTTAGATTCCATTGACCTGAGGTCAGGTCACAAGGTCACAAAAACCGTTACATTGACAAAATGGCACCAAAAATGCACTATTTTGTTCATGGAAACTAGAGTTCTTCATAGATTTGATTCACACTTGCAGGATATGCTTAGGTCACCGATTGCCATCATATGCACCCCAGTTTTTTTTTTAATTCGGTTGACCTGAGGTCATCTAGAGGTCATGACAATTTTTGAGGAAATTTGCCCGAATGTGTAATGATAAGCTATTTGTGTTTTCTTTTAACGTTTTTGTGTTGTACTACCTTGATTTACATCTACTTGGTGTTTGGAAGCTGCAAGAACGCTTGGGTTGGGTTAAAGGGACCCTCCCACCTTCAAAAAAGTTAATGAATTGGCATGAAAGTGATGTCCCTTGGTTCAGAAAGAGCGAAAACGAATATCTACCAAATTTCACCGAAAAATATTCACTGGTTTTCAAGACATTAGGCTTTTACTTTTGTTTACTTTTTGGGATCTCCACTGTTACTAGCGACTTTATTTGGAAGCAATAATTTGGCAGCCTTAAAGTGCGGCAGACGTTGCGCGCAAAGCAGCGTATACCACCACGTGTTAACGATGGTTTTAGTCTAAGATTTAAAAATCGTTAGATCTCCGCTGACGTCACAAATTCTAAGGGGGCATTCCAATGCATTAGCCCCTTAGAATCCGAAAACTGCAAGTTTGAAATTCCATATCTTCGAATTAAAGCATTTTTCGATGTTGTGAGTGCCCAAACCGGTATTTGCAGGCCATGGCCACCAATTTGGCTATCTCAACTCAAAACTAATGTTAACCCGGCACCGCCTGGGCTATTTCCGTACCCACGACAGCCTGGGGGGGTCGGATCCGACCAGGGGCGGATCCAGCATTTTGCCAAGGGAGGGGCTATTCCGAATCGGGGGCCCCCCATCGATGGGGGCCCTACCTACCCCCAAAAGTTTAAGCCTGGATTTCGTCCACTTTATTTTTGGGGGCCCCCTATCATGCTTTTTTTGCAAAAAAAAAAGAAAATGAGAAAGTCGCCCGGGGGGCGCTATAGTCCCTATCGCCCCCCCCCCCCTGGATCCGCCCCTGCTAGGAGGCCATGTATGTGAACTAGGAAGCCCTCTGTGCAGATGCGAGCGCAGGCCCTCAGTACAGACTTGGAGACCCTTTGTGTGGATGCGAGTGGAGGCCCTCTGTGGAGATTAAGAGGTCCTGTGTTGGCGAAGAGGATATCTGTGCAGGCTTGGAGTCCCTCTGTGCAGGATAGGAGACCTTCTGTGTGAGTTAGGAGGCCCTCTGTGTTGGCTAGGAGGCCCTTTGTTCGGATGCGAGTGGAGGCCTCTGTGTAGGCTAAGAGATTTTGTGTTTGTTAGGACATCTGTGCAGGCTTGGAGGCCCTCTGTGCAGGTTAGGAGGCCCTGTAAAAGTGGTCATCTCTGTGAGTATAAGAGACCTCCAAGTTATGAAAAGCTTTACCAATCTTCTAACAAAGAAGTCTTCTCAGCTAGTCTTCTAAGAAATAACTAAGTGGGTAGGTTAAAAAAAAAACTCATCGGATTTCGGCCACTTTATTTTCAGGAGGCCCCCTTTTCAGCTTTTTAACTTTTTATTTTATTTTTGAAAAAAATCGGCCAAGGGGGGGGGGGCCATGGCCCCCATGGCCCCCCCCTTGTATCCGCGCCTGGATCCGACCCCCCCCCCCTGTTATCTCGAGAACCAATGGTCGCATCGAGCCCCGCGAGGCGGCGTTCGAAAGGTCTCTACGAGACCTTCCCAAAGCACTCTTAAGATTTTAAGATTGAGGTCAACTTTCGGGTCAAGGTCAGGTCAAAGGTCAAATTCTAGGGTTTTGCATGATTAGGCTTACGGACAGCGGAATCGATAGCTGCTGCTCGACACTCACCAAAAATGACCTCAAAGGCCTAGTGAAGGTACCATGTGCGTATAGGGGTCATACTAATTACGGGTCAAGGTCAGGTCAGGTCACAAAAGGTCACGGTTTTCACTTTCTGCTACATAGGCGTGCGACACATGTTTTATGGCTTATTTTTCACGCCGAATCCGATGGTAATGGTTATATGTGACCCCAAGTCACTGTGCTGGTGATAAATGTGCATTGAAAGCATAAAAAATTGTTTATACCATACGAGGGCTGAGAAAAAAGGTCACTTTTTCAACTTTTTATTTTTGACATAAAAATACAATTTTCTAGACGAGCTTTGTCCCAGGCATCTAGTGGTGCCATTTGTTTTCACATGCGATGTTCAGAAGTGCCTCTAATTCACGAAAATGCTTATGACGTCACCATGCCCTAAGCATGTTGAAGCTATTTTTTTACAATTTGGGGGTCAAAAATCAAGATAGAAAGTTGAAATTTGGGACATCTAATGTTCTAATAGAGCTATATAACATATATTCCGGTTTTTTGGAAATTCTCAAAATTTTGGATTTTATTAGCTGTTTTCCAAAAATGTAGTTTTTTGAATTTTTAGTGGTGAAAAACGCATTTTAAGGAAAATCCGAGATAGCCATTTTAAAGAACTCGTTGAGCTGCGTCTATTCATGTCCTTAATTTGCAATTTGCTTCAAACCCTGATTTTTGGCGATTTTTTAAACATTTACCACTTTTTGACTAAAAACGCCGTGTAGTTACATCACTAAAATCGATATATCTCAAAAAAATTTGGAAATTTTTTCTTAAAAATTATACATAAGACGTCAAATTGATGGGGGAGAAGGTATGCCAAGTTTCAAGTTCATAGCGTAAGCGGTTCTTGAGTTATTCAAGAAAAACGGAGGGGGGGGGGGGTCGGATCCGACCCCCCCCAGGCGGTCGCGGGTTAAAGGGACCCTCCCACCTTCAAAAAAGTTTATGAATTGGCATAAAAGTGATGTCGCTCGGTTCAGAAAGAGCGAAAACGAATATCTACCAAATTTCACCGAAAAATATTCACCGGTTTTCAAGATATTTGACTTTTACTTTTGTTTACTTTTTTTTGGATCTCCGCTGTTTCTAGCGACTTTATTTTAGAAGTGCGGCGTTTGCGGCAGATGTTGCGCGCAAATAGCATATACCACCGCGTGCTACAAAACGTTTTAGTCAAACATTTAAAAATCGTTAGATATCTGCGCTGACGTCACACATTCAGAGGGGTATTCCTAAGCATTAGCCCCTCTGAATCAAAATGCTGCAATTTTGAAATTCAATATCTCCGATTTAAGGCATTTCTCGATGTTGTGAGTGCCGAAACCGGTAATTGTGAGCCAGGGACCCCATTTTGGCTATCTCAACTCAAATCTAATGTTAAGGTGGGAGGGTCCCTTTAAGGTGGGAGTGTCCCTTTAACTGAAGTCAACTTAGGTAAAACTACGTTTTTGCTAATAACTTGGCACACAATGAGGCTAGAGCTTCAAAAAAAAAAAAAAAAAAACGGTGTCGTTGTGCTCCTTGTGATCAGACGGTTCGAATGATATGCGATATGATGCATTTTTATCGTATTTCCATACTCACCGTCCGTGTTATGGAAAAGGATATGAAACCGTGAGAAAACCATGCTTATGAATCACAAAACAATGTTGGTCCTCACCTGTGAATGAGACGTTTAGTAGATATTTCTTGTAGAAATCGCCTCCGTCGTACCTCCTCATATTCGCGCAAACATAGCGATTGCTTCCGCAGACATCGAGCTGAAGGACCTCGAGGGCGTGCGCGAACGCGTAGACGGCGTCAATGACGAACTGCACCTTGGACTCCTGGACGAAGCCGGTCTCTGGTCGCAGCCGCAGCGCCGAGTCGCAGGCGGTGTCCTCGGCCGCGTCCGGCTCCAGCGAGCAGCCGAAGAACGCCTGCCAGTAGTCGCGGAACCACGGATTGCGCCGGTTCGTGTCGGGCGTCAGCTCGGCCATGTAGCGGTCGAAGGCGGCCACCCGGCGCGACGTCAGCTCCACGGTGATGGCGCCCTCGGCCACCTCCTCGACGCCCTGCACCAGGCTCTCCTGCTTGCCCCAACCGTCGCTGGCGATCCAGTGGAACGGCTCGCGCAGCCGCAGGCGCTTCGCCGCCTCCAGCACGCCCCTGTGGTCAACGGAGGGGAATAAAATAATGCAACCAAAACAGACACAGGCTGATGTGAAATATCCAACACTACATCATGATATCACATAGCAGCAAGCATCACACAAAAATCCAAATGGCACAGTTTGTCCACCCTCAATTCCCTTTTCATCCAACGGCGCTTCATCTTTACTGCACAGAGATATAAAAACAAATCACAGTTTGATTGAATTCGCAGTGGTTGGTGGTTTTGTTGAGCATGAATCAATGTTATGTAAGTAACTGCGCACCACATGCATTCAATTTGCTTATATTTGCTATGGATATGCAGGTATAAGCGAATTGGGAAAGTATACATACTGATTTGGTGCAGTATGGTTTGTTTTTGTGGACGGATCGAGGAAACGCAATCGGACCCTTCGATTTTCTTTTCATTACAATGTTTCTTTTTGGGAAATGTCATAAGGCTATTTTTTAAAGCGTCAGGTTCAGAAGCATCTAGTTGTAGACGTATAACGCCTGTGCAGGGTGCCCAACATGCCGTTCTGCCCTGCCCTCCGCCGAGCCGGCCAGAGTTTCCCATGGTCAGCATCCAATTTTGCTGACGAGAGCAGCCAGCCATGTGGCGGGGCGGGGGATCGGGATCGGAATGGAATTAAACAGCTCCGCCATGTCCAATTTATTACACGACCGCTGGAAAGCCGGCGTTTAGCCCATCACAGAATGCAAAGCGAGGCCGATCGGCCGCCGCCGGTGCTCCCAAATGGTCTAATAGCCGGCCGGGTTTTCGGCGAGATCCCATTTCGAGGCGACCGTGCCGCATATGGCCTAAATGGGAGTCATCTCTCGGGCGTGGAGGCCACAGCGTCATTACGCGAACGTCATCGGCATCGACGCCAATGAGACGGTTTGCGACGGCTTATGTAAAGCGTAAGCGACAGGGGAGCAAAACATCGCAAATGGGTTATTCAGCACCGGTGCGAGGGCGCGACTTTCTCACCGTTGTATTTTGAGCCAGCCGCAGAGGGTGACACTCGTCTCACTCGAATTAAATGCACACTCTCATCCGGTGTAGTTTGCCCGGCGCCAACATGACAAGTGGCTGTTGTTTGGAAAGACACCTAGCGATGACAGAAGTGTTTGTGGTGTGATATTCGACCTTAATGCGCTGCTCCTGGCCAGCAGTGTGTTTTCAGAAGGCAGGAGAGAGAGAGAGAGAGAGAGAGAGAGAGAGAGAGAGAGAGAGAGAGAGAGAGAGAGAGAGAGAGAGAGAGAGAGAGAGAGAGAGAGGAGAGAGGAACTATTACATTTTTTACATGTGTAGTCATTTATAATTACTTTCATAACAATCAACAGGGAAAACAGTGATAAGATGAATAATTGAAGCAAATTTGCATAATTGAAGCGCAGGGTTGTAAAGAAGCTGAAAAAGGATGTAATCACTTTCCAAAAAAATGCATATCTATCTGTGATCAGATTGTTTCTATGGGCCGATATTGATAAAAGTTTATAAATGACGAGTCGATTTTTAAAGAGCACATCGCTTCAACACTTGCTTCAATTGGCCGAACAGTTAGTATGAAACATTCGACGCATTTTGTCAACTATAAGTCGAATGAATCTTTGTTCACAGATTACTTACTGCTCGTTTTATCGTTAACCTGCTCTTCTATGAGGTTTAATTGCGTGGAGAGATATCTATTCACTATTTCATTGAATTGCCACCAATTCATTGACATTCCAATGGAGTGCGGTGGATTTGTGCGACAAGAAACAAATTGGTTTTGACCGGGATAATCTCATTAGTCCGATAAATTGAGATTGCACATAATGAGATTGCAGAATTGGCTGGGAATATGCCAATGTCATGGAGCTGAATTAGGAAATGATGTAATCAAGGATGTCCGATATCCTATATTTTTAATGGGTTATAGGTACGTAGCAGACTATTTTACTCGCGAAACGGAAAATATTACTTTATCCATGTGACCAGAACAGTATTCAAAGGTATTATGAAAGCATAACCTCTTCACTAAGTGAGCAAGTCCAAAATTGAACTTAAAGCAGGCTCGCTAATTCCACTTTTCAGGCTAAAAATGCCTATAAAGGAGAAACAATTGTATCGCCATGTGGCAGTTTACACACGGTCTCCTATCACAAGGTACAGCTGTTGTTTCGTTTATTGTTCTCATGTGTTAACAATGCATATCATATTCATTATGCACGGTGCACACCCTAACCGTGAGTAACATAATATCGCTACACATCATCTGCAAGCTCATAATCGGCATACAACGTGGTGTGAACAAACCCCGCAGTAATTCTGATGCGGTTGCAAAAACGCTGTGGATCTCCCGGCTTTGTAAGAAGCCCGGCGGCCGGCAGTGCTAACTTACCAGAAGTGCGTAACTTACATCAGCCGGATTCAGCGTTGCCGAACGCAGGAAAAACATCTGATATAAAGCACAGGCCGAATGGCGTCTTAATTACCTTAATGAGGATAGGAGCTGAGAGGGAGACCAGAAAGAAACAAAGAGAAAAAGTGTGTTAGAGAAAGAGAGAGGAAAAGGATAATAAAGAGATGGAGAGAAGAAAGAATTAAGTGGTCACGACCTGGCGAATAGGTAAATTTCGACTAGCAAGGCAGATGGACTCTGCTGGCTTGGAAAGGACATTATCCATAAAACTGAAAGAAAGAACATTTGGCTTTTGAAAGAAAAAATATTGAACCGAGAACCAATTTCGGGACGGGTATTACCCGTACGGAGGAGATCGAATCTCGACGGTCTTCAGATACATGCATCGTGCAGCTTGTTCAGTGTCTAGAACCGTTCCAAAATTTATTCATGGTTAGAATCAAATAAAGTAAGCTCTTTAGCCTAAACTATCATCATTATGCCCGGTTACATAGCATTTTTGTCGGGGCTGTTGCTCACTTCTTCTGCAATAATTTTAATGCAGTACTTTTCGTATATTTAGATGAGATCATTGTGTAAATTGCAAAGCGTCATTGGCATGTTTTGCAACATCACAGGCGGAGCTAGAGGCTTGCAACTATCCCTATGTAAACGCGGCTGTTGTTATATTCTGATGTAAACGAGCCCTCTGACAACGCAGGCCCACCCACGTAGCATGCGCTTTTCAAGAAAGGGTGGTCAAATCGAACTGTTCCACTCTGCTCTCTAAGGACAGACTTGCACAGGCATTGGCGTGACGACCGTGTCATGGCTCTGGAGCATCGCTGGTTTTGAATATTCATGCCCAAAATTACGTGCATGCACCTCATTCATCAATGCCCGGCCGAAGGAGCGCAGGGGATGTTTTATTCAGTTTTACGTCCGGCGAGTGGCCTTGTCGGTAGACACTTAAGAGGCGTTGGGTTAAAAATGGACCGGCAAGAGACCATAGCGAGCAATTACTAAGCATAGAGTAATTCAGAACTCCACGAAACTGTTGTGTACAAAAGATAAACCGCGGTTGAGCACTTCTATGTATGTGTGTACAGTGTGTCTAAAAAGAATGTACCGTCGCCACTACGTGGCGCTGGTGTCGCGAGCCGGTAGTTGGCTGAATCCGCACCAGACCACACATTCCCAGGCGCTAGGTGACAGCTGCGCAGCGGCCGGTAGTAGCGTAAGCCCGAACCTTCGTGACACGACCCCGGGGGGGGGGAGGGAGGGGAGCGGGCGGGGCAGCGCGTGTAGGGAGGGGTGCTCCAGCAAGCTGGCAGTTGTCGCGGCCAAAGGTCAAGGGGTCACACACCAAGCGAACGGACGCTGATGTGGGTTCGTGGGGATCATGAACTTGTGTGTGGTAGGTGCGTCTTGCGATGCACGGGTGATACGCCAGGTCTAAGCCAAAGGATTCAGGGGAGAGCTGAAGAAAACACCTGGTCAACTACGGCGAATAATAGTGCTGAAAAATGGAAAGTATGGGTCAATGCAAGCCTTCATGACTATAAACAACTTTCTGAGGACGCAAAGGCCAGCATTGAATAACGATCTCCGGATCGAAATTAGCAATGATTTATAATTAAATGCCGAACTAATAGCGCTGCAAAACCCTCCTAGTAAATTGTCAAGTCGGATTATACCCACTTGAATTAAACTGTCCTAAATAAAATTGTTAATTAACTTTCTAACACTGACTTTCTTTATCATACGATAAGTATGGACCAAGATTCAGCATCTTCCGCGTTCAAACAATCACCTGTAAGGCTAGAACATTAATGGCCAGGTAAAAACATGGTCGGGATTTGATTAACCGGATTATAGGTCGATTTTTTAGTCGGGATTTGATAAGTCAGATTTTTTTTTATGCCAACCGCATTTTTAAGTCAAGTCAGGTCACTGATCTATGACGTCATCAATAAGCAGTCCTAAAATGAACTGTGTGAAACTGTCCTAAACTGTCCTCAACATTTTAGGACTGTGTGCACACTCCTAAAATGTTCAACTTCGCTACACCCTCAGTGCAGAGCTTTCATAGGGAGATGAAACTTACAGGATCTTATAGTATGATCAAGAGTCTCACAACTTGTATAAATGTATATCTCGGATTTTCTGAAGGGTCGCCTGAGATCAGGTCAGTCTCTCACCATGAAAAGTCAGGGGAATATGGAAATTGCTAGTTTGGTCCGGAAATGATATACAACTATCTCAAATTCTCAAGCACACGGAATCGTGATTTCATGCGCTCCTTGCAAGGTCTGATGCTTTAATTTTGCTTTGTTGATCTTGCGTGACGTCATTTATCACGTAACCAAGGGTATCAGTTTTTCGTCAATAACTCCCGATCAACTAAAGCTACCGAGTCGATAAAGCCACTAATGGACATGAAAAGACCTGCCGAATCGATTGATATGCAATATGACCTCCTTTGACCAGCTTCGTGACCTGACGGGCTGTGACCTGACCTTGACCCGAGGTTAACACCTTAACTCTCGCCCATATTGGTGTTTTTCCAGCCGCAAACGTATAAGGGGGGGGGGGGGGTCCGTTGGACCCTCCCTTGCCGTTTCGCCCCTGATCGAGCTAGAGCTTCGCGGAAAAAACGAGCGTGTTGGCCGTGACGAGAGGAAGTCGATGATACCCAATTTTAAGGTCCTAGGTCATCGGTTGACTTTCCAGGTCAGGTCAATGACCCAAAAGTCGGGAAAATCGGGCCTGTTAGAAAGTCATAAAGCGTGGCTGCTATGGGGTTTTCGGGGTGCTGATCACTAATATCATGGTAGTTTGGATCACAGATGATATCTTCATGCATTTAGGCCAGGTCGGGTCAGGTCAGGTCAGGTCAACCAGTAAGGGTATTCGTAGTAGGTGGCAACCGCCTCTGGCAGCTTCGCAACATGTTACGAGGGCACCAAAACTACTTCGTAAATGTTCATATGGCTGCTAAATTCGAATTCAGCTCCTAAAACTGGCCTAGAAACATGTAAAATTCGAAAAAAGTGAACCGAGGTCATCAAAGGTCAATGACCTGACCTGACCTTCCGGTGACCTTGACACCCACCCTAATGCATAGAAGCAACATCATATCCCATGTTTGAACGCTTAAAACCACGAAAAGACTGCAAACGCGCCGCTAATGCGAGCCGACATACGCCGAATCGCGATTCCGGCCAAACATGGTCTCAAAAAGTAGGTCGCAGGTCAAATGTCATTAAGGTCAGGGTCATGACAATTTCAGGGTGGGTGTAAAATTGATTAACGCGAGAGTAACGAAAGTTTCGTCGCGATCGGCCGCTTTTTACGCCAGTTATTCGCAAAAAACCGAGGGAGGGGGTCCGTTCGACCCCCCCCCCCCTCTATACGGGCAAGGGTTAAGTTGATCTCACCCGAAGAAAAAGTATACCATTCGACACGCTTGAGCTAGATAAACACGATGCTGCTAAAATCGCGGATCTGCGATCATTTTTAGCGAAGTTATTTACCAAAAACCGAACCTGTGCCTTGGGCCACTTTACCTGACCTCCGAAGTCATCGGCTGATCCTGGTCCTTAAATCGGAGACCAATCGCTGCATTTCGTAACGACGCAGACGATCGTTTCTTTCGTGAGGCTCTAGCTCAATTAGGGGCGAATCGGCGAAGGGGGTTGTTTCCTCACTTCAACCCCCAACGTCCCTCGGTATTCAGAAAACCTGAAGGTCCGGTGAGGGTTAAAACGTTTCTCCTGAACGAGGAAGAAATGTAAAAGTCAAAGCTCTATAGACGTCCTGTAAAAGTGGCCATAATAATAAATTCGTTAGAAATAAGATGCTTTTTAAACGACTTCCTCATATAACATCGGGTGCTGGGACCAATCTTATAAACGCTTTAGAATGGACAGGGCGTCACTGGCTAAAGTTTGGGTGCAGAAAACGGCTATTACCTAAATGCAAAATGGTTTTCATGCATTTCAGTCAATTGTATATTGTCGGTCCCAGTGGCCGAGCTAAAAAAAAAATCGGTAGTGTTTTGCATCTTTTACGCCCTAAGAAACTACACCATCTATCGAAGTGGGCGGGCTTATTTGAATGGGAGGGCGCATTATGCACGAATCGAGTGCTTTCGTTTATTTTGGACTGTATTTTACCACATCCACTGCTGGTATCACTATTAATATTATCTAATGCCGTGAATACGACAGCATTCCATTTATAAGATTGGGCCAATGGAGTCGCGCCCCGCGAGCTCGGTTTTCCGCTGGGCCGCTACAGGCCAGGAAGTCGGTCTTCGCCTGAGGGCAGGACAAAGGTCAGCGAGGGAGCGCGGGGTCAGCCAGGTATCGCCAAGTGCCGAGCGGATGCCGCTCCCTCCCCTCTCTTCCCCTCTTCTCCCCTCCCCACCTCGGTATAGATGGGGAGGGACCGAACTGCCAATGACATGCGAGCGGTCAAGGCCGCTCGCGCGGCAGCGACCCTGGCGGCCGGATGCCGCAACTGGGATTCAGCCAAGTTACCGATTCGCCTCCTGTGGGAGAGCCAAACCAGGGGACATACTTTTTAGATATACTGTACGTACATACGTTACTAAAGTTATTTTATTACGATGTGTCACAGATAACAATATTTCTTATTGTCTTTTAAAAACAGTCAGGGGTTTTGGAAATAAATCCCTCTTATGTGCAAGTCACATTTCTGAACGGAATTGTTTGCGTTTCGCCAAAGAACCCCATCAGAAATATTTTAGCGAGTCTAAAGCGGAAAACAAACGGCTGCGATGACGAACCTTGTTATTGGAAATGCCAACGGAGAGATTGAAAATATAGCCGTCCATTCTGTGGCATATGAATTTAGCCAGAAATGTCCGTGTTATTGACAGGAGCAAAACTGGGGAAATTTTGCAGCATTGAATTAGTGAAAGCTGCGTTGAAGCTCCCCAGACTTGACAACATAGGGTAAATTGTTTCAAGACCAATGTGATTTAGGTGCTAAGCAAATATGCAAGGGATACTTTGCACTTATGGTCACAAAATTCACGTAATTAAAGTTATTGTATGTAAATGAAATGGTGGCTACTAGTGCAAAGAATGAAAAGAATTATGACATGCGGGAAAAAGACGCAAGGAAGTTCAAATTCTGTCGATAAATGATAAATAAACGTCCGATACATTGAGCATTTTTTTTTGTCGCTGCCCGACGATTTCCATTTTGTTACGGCACAAAAAAAAATCTACCACAGAAATCGATTACATGGGTTAACAAGATAATTCAGCAACTGCTTTTGAATAAGATAGGCAATAACATTATCTTAAGCATACAAAATATTGTAGGTATACAATATTTGCACCCCATTGGGTGCAAGTAGCACCTAATCTGTGAATCGCAGACGAAAACGGGTTCCTGTAACTCACCTTGCATCTTCGGCTCTGACGAATAGGATCACACCCCGCGCCATCGGCTTCTTCTGCAGGTTCATGATGATGTTCTCGAAGGTTTTGGCCGTAGCATCCCGCGGCACCTTTTCTGTCACTGCTATGCAGATGTTCCTCTCGGCAGCCTGGCGGTGGAACGCGTCCATGCCGCTCTCTCCATAGGAGCCCTCGGACGCGATTGTGCTGACGTAGGACCAGTTGAACAACTGCACCATGTCCACCAGTGCCGTGGCCTGAAACGTGTCCGGTGGTACTGTCCTCGCGAAAAATTCGAACCGTGATTTATCGCTTAGCGCCTGTGCGGTGGATGCTGGCGAAATTTGTGGGATACGGAACAGTCTAAACAGGTTGGCGACGTTGATGGAAATGGTACTATAGGAGCCGCCAACCACTCCACTAACCGCCTTAGAGCGATATTTGGGCCGAGGCGTGGACCGGTCGGCGCACTCGAAGGCCACCGTGTCCATGACGTCCAGTGGCGCCTTGATGAAGGCCAGCGACTGGTTGAGGGCGTACGTGTCGGTGCTGCACGTGTCCAGGATGTTGACGCCGATGGTGGTGTGCGGCAGCAGGCGGCGGTCGCTGTTGATGCGGTCCACGGCGAACAGCATGGCCTCGAGCCGCTGCAGGCCGCGGTTGTACAGTTTGGCGCTGCACGGCGTGCCGTCACCCTTCTCGTGCACGGGGAACAGGCCGCCGAGCACCAGGTCACCGTCCAGCAGCACCGAGTGCTGACCGAGGGCCGGCGGGACCAGCAGCAGCAGCAGCAGCAGCAGCGGCAGCAGCGGGCCAGACGACAGCCACGCTCTTCCCAGCACCATGCTGTTGCAGCCGCGCCGACGGCCACCTATGCGCCGTGACGTTTCGCAGGTAAGCTCGTCCACAGGAACTCTGAAAATATAGCATGCCTGATAGTAAAATCTGCAATGCCCGCTATCTATTTAAATGTATGCATGGGCATTGTTGCTGTATGTAATATGTTTTTATAATTGTAATTATCCCGCACCGTAGACAGTGTTTACAATTGCTTCACGTGATAAGGTAGAAAATTATCAGATCTCGTTTAACTGATTTATTAGACGTCTAGACGTTTAACAAACTGTTAAATGTCTCGTAAACATTTCGTCTAGTCTGCATTATGTCGTATTTTTTATACAAAATGTATTTTTTACCTTTAAGTGCCCGAAATATATCGGCGGTACGGGATAAATTTATTAAACCGCTCGTAGGAAGACAATTTTTTTTAACGCTCGCCTATCGGCTATACGTTTTAAAGATTTGTTTTACCTACTCGCGGTTTAATATATATTCATGACCATGCTCCTGACCTTTAAACTACCCTTCTGGTTGTTTTCGTTTTGTTTCAAATCAATTTGATAAGACAAAAGACCGCGAAAATTTGAAAAATGACGGCACCATAGGTGGCTTTGGTATCCGAAATGTGTAGGTTCAGGTGGCTCTATAAATCCCGTGTTGTGTTGATCAGGGGCAGAGCCTGGGCACTGGGGGCTAAAGCCCCTTGCCGAAAAAAAAATATTCCGCCCTGCGGATCGACGGATCTGGGGGCCGCAACTGCAGTAAAATCAATTTATCCATAAACAACATCAGAGTATGAAAAGAGGCAGATGACGCCGTCTTCAATTTTCACGATAGGCGCCCCAACAGTGCATTTTGCCGCCCCTGTTATGGTGGAAAACATACCGCCACATTCCATTGGCCCCTGGCCGAAGAAAATCCTGGACCCATCCCTGATGTAGATAAAGAGAACACACGTATAATGTATCTTTTTAGTTCGGAGTGGACACGAATTAAAATGTTTGACGATGGCCCTATACAGGGTGACAAGACACCTATCGATTTCTGTGCGTTAGCACAGCACACAGTGCACTCAGAACGCAGTTGGCACTTTAGCAGGTGTACTAACACCTGCCTCGTCAATTGTTTTACTTATGCACAGCATCTATCGACGGATATTTTCTGGGTCCGAACACTCAGCGAGCACCCCCTTAGCGAGCGAGCGCACGTCACGACGTTCTGCGGTCGTGGCAGGATACTCATCAATCAGCCAATGCCAAATGGACTGAGAGCACATACGGTGTGTGGCACAAACTTCGGGCACTATACCAAACGCTAGGAACGACGTTTAGAAGACAGTTGATCGAGTTGTGCCATTTGTTCCAGATACCTATGAACTTCCCAGTCTAGCGTCGCGCTGAACAGGTTTCGTCGCCTGATGGATCGTGTCTGTTTGCCTTTTACCGTATTGGACAGTGTTCGATTCGCTGCGGGTCAGTTTAGAGTGCAGCTGCACCAGAGCAAATTATGCATCACCTGCTGGGTCAGGTGGTAGTTGATGTTCAAAACACTTGCTGTGCATAGCTATGATGATATCGAATCGATGCGTCACTCTGTTCCTGGTGCGTCATATTGTCTTTGTGGGCGTGCCAAAATCGCATAAGAAATTCCTTCCTTTGGAAACCTGCGCAGCTGTTGGTTAACCCACGACATCAATAAATCCCACTCCCATCAATGTTCGTTAGGTAATCAATTGGCTCGTTGTATGGGCTGTGAATGTGCGCATAAGCAATCACCGTCATTTATGCAGACCAGACATGTAGGTAATTACCCTAAATGAATAGTGGTGATGGAGAGTAATGGAATGGCAAACATAAACAAACATATAATAGTCTACCCGACACACAAAAAAATATGTAGTGCCAGGTGGGGAGGATGCCGTCTTGGAACGCGTGAATAAGGCAAATAATTGGTAGGGGAGATCCGTGTAAGACGCCCAGGGTCGGTAAGAGGCCCCATCGCTTTTTTTACCAAACCAATAATGTTATTTATTTTTTAATGTTCTTGTAAAGCAGAAGCCCTCTTGAAACAACAACTCACGAAACCTGAGGTATCAGGTGCGTCGCAGCGACTTTTGGTAAGCCTGTTTCTGCTTTTGCCCCTTTACTTGCTAGATATATGCATCTTTATCACCCTTATATATCTGAAAAAAACAATGGCTATCAAATGCAATCTTTTCTCATCGAAATTGTCACATGTTAGCTTCAGAATAGACCATGTTCTGGTGCGCTGCAAATGTCTCATAAACCATAAATATTGTGGACGTTAAAACACTGTATTTTTTTAAGAGGCCCTCCCTTCGAGGACGATAAAACGCCCCCCGATAAAAAAAACGCCCCCGATGCTAAAACGTCTGCACCTGCGGCAGGGGTGGCATTATTTTTTCAAGGAGTTTGTTTTTGTTTCTTTTTTCTGGTTCTTTTCTTAGAGGTTATAGGTACAATTTTCGTTGGTCATCAGCGTTTGGTTGTGCTAGTTTTCGCATTGTTCGAGCGCTTTTGAAGTGTTATTGGTTTCGATAACACCGTATTTGCTTAGCTTTTCGAAATAAAAGGCCTTGCAGCTGTGTTCGCAAAGCGTCTTTTACAAGTCGACTTGACTTTTAAAACGCCCGAGGGGGGGGGGGGGCGTCTTACCATACCCATAGTGTAAGAGGCCCTTTTGCAACTTTTTCCAAAATGTTAAAGTTTACGGTTTGTGTACCCACTAGATTCATTTTGAATGCAAATATGTATGGGAAAATGATGCATGCTCACAGCGCATGCACACGTTAGCGCTTAAATATTATCAGTTGTCTAAAAATAGTAACTGAGCTTAAGGGGGGGCCTCCTGCACCACTCTCCCTAGCGATGGGTGGATAAGTTGATAACATAAGTGTTTAAAGGGTTATTAACAAAATAAACAAAACGTCACCCCTACCACAGCTACGCTTGTGGAAGCACATAAAAATTTGCTAAGAAAGGTGTAAATAAATCGGGCAATATGATTGTGCGTTTGGTTAGTCGCTTAATTGAATACTCGGATGAAAAATCAAAATTAAAGCAAAATCTACAAACAGTGCTAATGAAGTGTGCATTGGCTGGGCGCCCGTTATATGATCAGTGCCACGGCTATTCATGCTTAAAGTGTGTCTCAGCCCATATACCGGTGAGTAGTAGCTGCGTTCGAGGGAGCCAACTCACACCGGTTGTAATGTTTATGCCGGTATGAATCGCACCCTGACCCATCCCAATAGGTCCTCACACCCATACCATGCAGTGACAACCACGCACTGCGCGCCCATTTGGGTTAGCGAGTGGCTATGGCCACCGGTGGTGTATGTGCCATCGGCCGGCGCATGGTCAACTCAGTCAACTCAATTATCCCCGGTGCGGATCAATGACAGCAGCCACGCTATTTTGCCCCGCGCCCTGCGGCTTTTCAGACCACACAGCAGCTGTATTGACAGACCGATCCCACTCAATGATTGGAAATCGGATCCGCGCTGGTAACTAACGCAGCTCTGACACCAATTCACTCGCAGTGGTTCTGCAACTGGCAGTGAATGACATTATGGGGTACCGCTATATAGCAAGCAATGCATTAGCCGAGCAATAACTCTTCAAGAGGTCGAGAAATGTGTTTCTCATTCGTGCAGCGAAAACCTATTGGCGACGCAATCTAACACTGTCACAGACACGGAATTCAATCAAAGGCAAGTGGCAATGAATGGTGAGTGCTTGGCGACCCGGAGTACCATACTGAAGCGAGGGAAATGCCGAGATTTACATTGCACCTCCACTAAGCTAAATAGTGACGCTTTGAGCAATGATTGGATATAAACACTCCAAAACAATGCCAGTCCCGGCTGTTTAGATTTGGTTTAGAATTAGATATCAAGCCGGCTGTCAGAAAGCGTTGGCTCGTTAGAATGAGCTCCAGTCCCGTGGGGAATTAGTTAGGAAGTTGTCGATTACTTCCCGGCTGAGTGTGTGTGATACGGGCCCGAACGAACCGACTTCGCAACGCGTGGAACAGGCAAACAAGCGCTAGTTGTCAATCAAGAGAGTTCAGAAGTCACAGAGTGCGTAGTCTCAGATTGTTCTTCTTCTTGTCAAACGTGCCTCTTAACTTCAAAAAATAAAGTTGAATATCGCTATGACTATGAGTGATAAGAAATGCCCCCTGCATTTTTTTTTTGTAGCAAGGAGAGAAATAACTGCCTCTGTTTCATCGATGTTTTTTTTTGGGTTTTTTTGGGTGTTAGTCACCACAAGAAATATTATTTCTGCTATGAGTTGTTGATAAGTTTGAAAGGACAGGCAATAGGTAGGTAGTTGTTTTGCGCTATTGACATACAACAAACATAAGCCTAAGTTTCCAAGTAAGAAACCATTGCTTTGGACACAACCTTTCAAATCATTATTATCATTTCCCAAGTTTTACCGTGTTTTCACTGACATACATTTGAGCGTAGGTAATATGCGTTGTTCTCAGATATAACAACATTTTAGACAGCTGATTTTAGTAAGATCAATTTGACTGATTTTTACGTTGTTTCAAACTGACATTTTTTAATTGCAGTCCATCTCTAAAAAGTTCATTGGGTCACTGCAAAAAGTCATAATAGCACCGCATTCCAAATTAAAATAATTAGCAAATAATTACATTTACAGAATGCACAAAAATATAGCCAATCCTCAGTGAATCACCTGTAGATAACATTGACATTAATCCACCCTCCGTTTGCTTACCTTATATTTTCTTTTCAACCTCAAAAGCCGACCGTCTTCGGTCGTGTCGGGTCGCCGTGGAGCTGTACCGGCCGGCCCCCCTGTATCGGCGCGCCTCCCGCGGCCGCCGCCACCGCCGGACTGCACCGTCGGCGACCCAGACCGTCGACTGCGACGCCGACGGGGCGGCTGTCGCCACCGACGGTCACCTGAGAGGGCGAAAGCCGACACCTGGCCCGCCCGCCTCCCCGCTGTGCCCCTCCCAGCCAGCTGGTCGGGCGTCGCGACAGGCAGGGTCGGAATCCGATGCCGAGGAGAGGCTAGGATCTTCCGCCGAATTATGGACAGCCAGTGGTCGATAAAACTTCCAACGTGCCAACGCTCGTTGGAGCAAGATATTAGCAATACCTACTTGGAAGAGCTGGAGACAGTCCGCCCGTCTACATGGATGCTTCCGTACGCCTAAAATACAGCATTGACTTATGACTTTCTAATCGTCCGGTGCTGTTATCGGCTGCTCGGTACCGCGTGTATATACCTATGTTCCCTCATTCACTCCTGGTCACCCTTCGGTCACCCCTCGCTGGGTCGGGCCAGTCGGCTATTTTTATCCTCTTCCCGGCTAGGCCACCCGCTAAGCTCCCGCCGCACACTGCACAGTGTGGCCGAAGACCAGTTTAGCGCGAATTTAATCCCAGCGCCGCTCGGATCCACTGAAAATGGTTCTCTGGTTCCAAAACTGACGTTTACCCCTCACCGGACCTATTGGTTTTCAAAATACCCCCCCTTCGCCGGCCGAAGGGGGGGGGGGGGTACGACCCCCGTCGCTGTTTGGCCCTTGATGAAGCTAGAGCCTCGCGGAAAAAACGAGCGTGTGTGCCGTTACGAGACGCAGCAACTGGTATCCGATTTTAAGGTCTCAGGTTAACCTGTGACCTCTGAGTTCAGGTCAAGTGGCCCAAGGCACGGATTCGTTTTTTATTAATAACTTCGCGAAAAAATGCCGCAGAGTCCGCAATTTTGGCATCATCGTGTTCGCCTCGCTCAGGTGCGTCGAATGGTATACTTTTTGTTCGGCTGAAGTCAACTTAAGGTGTTGACCTCGGGTCAAGGTCAAGTTAGAGCCCCCCAGATCACGAAGTTGGTCGAAGGAGGTCATGTTGCATATCATTCGATTCGGCAGGTCTTCCTGAGTCCATTGGTGGCTTTCCCGACTCGCTAGCTCAATTTGATCAGGAGTTATTGACGAAAAACTCTTATTATCCTAGTGACGTCATAAATGACGTCACGTAAGGCCAATAATGCAAAAGTGAAGCATCGAACCTTGCAAGGAGTGCATGAAATCACGATTCCGTGTGCTTGAGATAGTTTATTAGGCTGGAGCCTGTTCGGCCGCGCCGCCCCCCACCTTGGTCAGGTCACGCCGGGCGGCCGACTAGACATGTTCAAAGCTGAATTGACGGCAAATAGGCAAAAAGTGGCAGCTGAAACTTGCTCGCTTATGTTCAGAAATGTGCGTAGAGTTCAGCCATGCCCTATTCGTCATATCCATTTTTATCCATTTTGACATTTTCCAACTTCTTTATGAAATACTATTGTGAGAACGATACACATGCAGGGCTCCTGTTCTAACTCATTAAACTCAGAAACCATTCATTGAAAAGCTACCATGATAGCAGAAACAGCTTCATCATGAATTGTGCTATCCGGTGATATGCTATTTTCTCATATATCTTCTCGAAGCTTCCGTAAAATTTACATTGAAAACTGGACATATTTCTCAGTACCATAGCCCGATTTCAGGAACCGGAGCGTGGGTCTACTTTCGGCAGGGATATAAGTCCTCAAATGATAAAGTGGCTTAAAAATAAGGTTCTATCCGATAACTTCGGACAATTTCCTACCCATTGATAGGTATAAATAACAGTTTATCGAAAGTCGGGTTTTTGATTAAATTCGCGCTAATCTGGTATTCGGCAAGACTGTGCACTGGTCGGAAACGCCCTCACGAGAGGCCACGGGCGATTCCGGAGTTTCGGATTTTTTTTTATGTAGATCGATTTGAAATTGATCAAATTATTATAATTAGGCCAAAAAAAACTAATCCGGGTGACCAAAAATAACTGTAATCAGCCCCCGAAGATGGGGTATCCCAGAACTCGGAAACTGACGCGGAGCAAGAGGTTTCTTGAGCCGGATATTCAGAGTCTTATTGCTGATAGACACCAAATTGAAATCCCACATATTATGCATCAAAATGTTTGTTATGAAGTTTCCGACTGGTCAGTGCAAATTTTTTGGTATACTTTTTCCCCAACTACGATCTACTGTAGCTTTTTTATGAGGGCTCTCTTAGAGTGATTCTGGAATATAACTGCAAAGTTTAGGTAAGGAAACAACAGGTAGTCCCATCTAGTCCCACTCTGATTTTTTGTGAGATGAAGCAGGATTTAAATTTACACCAGGGTAACATAAAAGCTAACTGCGCATATTTGCGCAAAATTTGCAGGAGCCGCTATTCCTACCCAACTACCGCCCGCCCCGCCCCAGTTTCGGCTCGGCCGCCGCGCCCGGCTTACGCTGACCTGTGTGGCCTGCGGCCCTGCACGCATCCATGCGTAGTTGACTGGTCATTAAAAACAGACGCGCTTGAGTTTATGAATTTTGTGGAAAGCGCATACAATATGGTTTTATTATTGCATTTATGTATGTATTGACATCAAAAGCCTTCTACGTATTGCGTGGCGATTACGGCTTGCATTTAGAGAACCTTGCTATTAGTAACCATCACTCGGCTGAAGAAAGTGGAAATTGAGACCTTCGTGAATATAAGACGCTGCGAATATAGGACACCTGTCACTGGCGTCAGGTTACCTTGGGCCGTCTTTTTACATTAGATCACAATTCCGGTATTTAGCCCTGGCCGGACCGATTGGTTTTCTTTATTGACCGGGGAGGGTTGATACAACTCCCTCGCCGTTTCGCCTCTAATTGAGCTAGAGCCTCGCGGAAAAAACGAGCTTGTGTGCCGTTATAAGACGCAGCAAGTACTACCCGATTTAAGGTCTTAGGTCAGCCAGTGACCTCTTAGGTCAGGTAAGTGCCACAAGGCACGGGCTCGGTTTTTGGTTAATTACTTTGCCAAAAATGGTCGCACTGCCGCGATTTTGGCATCATCGTGCTTGTCTAGCTCAGGAGCGTCGAATGCTATACTTGGTGTTCGGGTGAAGTCAACTTAAGGCGTTAACCTCGGGTCAAGGTCAGGTCGGAGCCCCTCAGGTCACGAAAATGGTTGAAGGAGGACATATCGCATATCACTCGATTCGGCAGGTCTTCTCGAGTCCAATGGTGGCTTTCCCGACTCTCTAGCTCCATCTGATCAGGAGTTATTGACGAAAAACTTGTATGGCCTTACTGACGTCATAAATGACGTCACGCAAAGTCAACAATGCTAAATTGAAGCACCGGACCTTGCAAGGAGTGCATGAAACCATTCCCGGTGCCCGAATAGCAGCTTCCAATTTCCCTTGTTCACTTAAAGTGGTGCTAAATCCTGTATTATACTCAATTATGACGTCATAACTTAACAGATTCACGTCATATATTTAGTGCTTGACATCCAAATGATAGCTTACATATGACAGAGAAGGTATGCAAAGTTTTATGAAGTTTGCTTCACTAGTTGTGGAATAACAAGCAAAAAACTTTTGCGGAAAGGCCGCTGGCCTCTCGCTGGAGCGTTTCCGACCAGTGTGCGCCGTGCCGCGCCGTCTGCGAGGGACCTGACCCTCCTGCCGGCAGAGGTTTCTCCAGGTGTCTCCAAGGAGCCATCGTAGCGCTAAGGGTGTGCTCCGCATACACATGCATTGATTTTCGCCCTTACTAGCAGGGCCGCTGGCACGCGTTGGCAGCGCCCCGCGGGCATTTTTTCACTTAGGGTCATTTTGTGGTAAGGAGGATCAGAAAATCACCCTTCCAACTTTCTCCAGGCCTGGGTGTTTTATCGAGCGCGCCTGAAAACGCACAGTGGATCGGAATCACACTTCGTTTGCGTTACTTCGTATAAGGTAATACGATCAAAAGTGCGCTCTTTTCTCAATCAATAAGGACAAGTGCGTTAAAACACACTTATAAAGTTTTAAGTTAAAAGCTTTAAAATGCTAAATTTCAACATTTCTACGCTGATGATAATCGTTAGTTGTTTCAGACTTTGGCATGAAAACGTAGGCATTCAGATCCACCGTGTGACCGGTCACCGTATGCAGTAGTGTGATGGTGTGAGTTGGGGAGTCAAGGCCGTGTGGGGAGAAGGTGAGGAGATGCCGGTGTGCCGACGCGGCAATTGGCAGTGATTAGACAGTTGTGCATGCATTGTTCATCTAGCATATCATTTGCTTGGGCAAATTTATAGGCATGGCGCCTGTTTATCCGTCTAATTCAAAGGAAAGGTGTGAGTACCAATACTGGTCGTACTTTTCATAGTCATAGTCCAGGTCCTGAAATGACTGGCACCTGAAATTTTCAGGATATGTCGCAAGAGGCTCATTCCCAGACGTGCCAAATTTTGCGGCGCTACGCGACACCACCTTTTACGCTATTCGCGAAAAAAAAAACTTAGGAAGGCTGCATCCCCCCTCCCGCCAGGCGAGGGCTAAGTTGGAGACAGTGATGGGACTAAGATGTTCGTTGGAGCAACTCCAAGCATTTTATCGACCTCTGTGGACAGCGGGAAAAGTTATGGTTTCTCTCATATCCCGGGTGTCTATCGAAAATAAGCTGGTCGGGTTAGAGATGTGAATAGATCATCAGAGTTGCTCTGACAAATATGGATATTGAACAGTTTGGATAAACTTCCAACGCCCAACTAGTATCCTGAACTATGTGTTCCGGGTTCCCACAAAAGTAAATATCAATAAAGCAGCGCCCCTCCAAGCAAATTGGTAACTCAATGCGTCTGCTGATGTTGGGTCGCGGATTTACGACTGGAAGTCCGTGACCTGATCAGCTCTGATGTCCCATCGAAGCACCAGCCCCGAACCAGTGCCGAACACTCATAAACTGCTGAGCTGTTACCAGGGTGACTGGAGACTACGGTCGATTTTACTGCGGGGGTT